AAATTAACATCTCCATGCCATTCTTCGGGCAAATTTAAGTTAAATTAGAACCTAATATTGATGTTCTCTTTGAAAAAACAATGATAACACTTACATTAAAAAAAAAACATATATTTATAGTTTATATTTTTTTCACATTCATAATAACCAATATATAATAAATAATAATTAAATTTATCACTGTATCTATATTAAGATGTGCTTATACTAAAGTATACAATTCTATTAACTTTAAAGTAAAATTTTAAATTCTCGGCCCGCCAATTTTTTTTTTATGGCTCTTGGTAAAAATTGTAATGATATGCGCCTAAGCATTCATATATTTTTTAAAAAAATTGAATGTACAATAAAATAGCTATAATAATCAGTACACATTAAATATAAGAATAGGTCATATGTACTAAAGATAAAATATGACACACACACACACACGTACACACATACACGCGCGCGCACACACAGGTGACATTAAACATAAGGAGCAACATTTTCAAACACTTAGGAAACGTGTTCTTGTCATTCTTTTCGTATAGACGGTCAAAGGCGAGTGTACAAGACTACGCAGATCGTCTATGCAGAAAGATATAATTAATTGTAAAACGTTCTGTAAAAGTTTAAAATAAGTGCATTAATGTGTGTATAAGTAATTTAAATAAAATGAATATAAGTGAGTTAAAAAAGAAAGTTATTGTCATTTGAAAATATAAATTGGTCACCTTATTCCATACCTGAAGAATCTACTACGGTTGTCAAGAGGCAGACCGACACAATCATCGGAGAAATAATATTAAGAATCTATAATATAATAAGTAATGATTACAAAAAAACATATAAGTACTTCTCCATAATTTAACATATAATAACTCCCATTTTTATTTCATTACAAAATGGCGCCTGGCTAGCTCAGTCGGTAGAGCACGAGACTCTTAATCTCGGGGTCATGGGTTTAAGCCCTACGTTGAGCGCCAAGTGTAATGAAATAAAAATGGGAGTTTTAATATGTTAAATTGTGCTTATATGTTTTTTTTAAATCATAACTTATTATATTATAGATTCTTAATATTAACTCTCCCATTATTATTTCATTACAAAATAAGGTTGGTTACCACTGCCTTATATCATACTCTTAAGTCAGTTCTTAATACTTGATTTGCAATACATATTTTTCAATCAAGTAAATTTATTTTAAATCTATTAATCGGAATGTAAAGCTAATAAAACCAATTATTATGATTATTTTTCGAAACACTGATTGCTAGACAGCATCGTGTCAACATTTTATTTATTTTGAATTTCAACTAACGTTACAATGTTACTAGAAATTAATTACACAGATCATTTTGAATAAGTGACTACCATCTTCATCTGTTAACGTAAAATAAAAAAATTAACAATGCAATTATTTGAAAATATTTGAAAAAAAAAATTATATATTTTACAGCATAAACCGCATGTTCCACGATTAATACCATCACCGACTACACTTATGAGATAATTTTTCTTGTTAAAAATCATTATTTTATGTAAAAAAGTATCTTGTTTAAATGTTAATCTGATAAAACACACGAGTACAGTTTCCCTTAAGAAAGGTTTAATGGGTTAATTTTGTATACCACTATTAGTTATAACTCTACCAAATAATCACGAATGTGAAAGAGAATTATGAGAAAACGTGATGTAGATTTTATGATGTTGAACGGGAAGTAAATGAAAATAAAAAATTCCTTGGTATGCATGCGAGCAACGAATTTTTTATGTTTTTAAAAAATAATTTTTCAAGATGAAAAAAATGATTAAATTTAAATAATAATTTGCAACTAGATGGTAATCCATAATGTTTGAAGTAAGATATTTCTCGGTGAGACCTTTGAATCAATATAATATTTACTTTTTACATTAATTTATTTTTTAATTATATTAATATAATATAGAAATAATTCAGTAAAATAAATAAATCTTTTGAGGCATTCATAAATTAATGAATTGTCCCTCAATTTTTCCTATAATAATAACTATCTCCGTTGTATATTTATTATTTTCAGTTGCACTGCAATTTAATATTTAAATTTCACAAATTATTTATAACCCAACTCATAAGTGTTCGTATAGTTTATTTAACTTTATTCTAAAAAAATAATTTTAGATTTTCATCATTTTAATAGCTTACTGCATGTATGTCGTTGGTCGACAAATATAAAATAAATGAAGTATTACTCTTATTACTATTTAGTCGTACTAATATTATCACTGCAATATGATGTAAAACCAATATCTGTTATTATTTCAGTACTCAGCAGTAAAGTTAGAACAATTTATTATTATACACATTTTAATAATGTTATTTAAACCCCAAATATTCATTGTATTTGTTATAATTTATATAATTCTTCAGTTAATAATTAATTAAATGATTTTTATTGTTAGTGAAAAAGTTCATTTCTACAAATATGTTGATCGTGTATTATTTAAGGTTTTGTATAAACATTTTTAGCGAATTCCAACATCTTTGGTGCCATTCATTAGATTCAATAATAGATTGTAAATATATTAACTATTTTTGTGGAAAATAGTTTTCGAGATAAATGCAGACTCGAATTAAATTGAATTTTAGTTTGCATTTATGTATATATTTTACCTTGATCTGAACGATCTGACGTAATTGTGAATATTTTAATACTTACGAAAACATTTAAATTGAATTATATCAGTGTATAATAAATAATAAATAATTTCTAAGTCATATACTTTTGTTTTTTCTTAAGAATACCTTGGGGAGCCAGAATACAATTGAATAAGTTAACATATAAATTAACATATAAGATAAAAAAATACAATCAGGGTTTAAATGACAAGTGCAAATATGAAATATGAAATAAATTCAGAGTAGATTAAATATAAGATTAAAAAAAGTATAAAATATAAAATTATATTGATTTAAAGTATAAATTAATGTAAATAATTAACATAGGCTATCAAAATGAAAATCATTACTCACTATTGAATTTCACAAGTATATCATTCGATTAATATGTGCATTTAGGCTATAATTTTGATGATATTGATAAATTTTATTTATTAATTTATATTCATAAATCAGCTTGGTTTCTATTAAAATAAGAAGAAGCGTTAAAATTTATCTTCGAGAGTATTTCTGTGACAATTGTTATTAAGTATTTTTGTGAACATTGTTATTGAGAAATATATATAGTTAAGCAATATTTTATTTAATATCCGATATTTAACATGATGACTGAAACGCGTGAGGTTAAATTGTGTTAATGACGTTTCCTTGTGAAGTGGGTTTTTGTGACATACACGAATACATATAAAAAAAATTACTCTTTAAAATTTTCAATCTGATTAATTCAATGTTAAATAAGAAGGTTCTTATATAGTGGATTGAAATACTCCTTGATTTATAAGAAAAATATTAGATAAGAAATAGTAATAAAAGTTGTAAATATTGTTGTTTTAAAACTTTTGCCTAAAAATGAAATATTAATTTTATTTATTTACTTACATAGGCATATAGTTATAGTATAAACTATTTACATTATAAGTAAAAAATGTATTATGTTGATTGTAGAATATTTATAGCTATCCTCAAGGATAATATTTAACTTAAACTCAAAATAGAAATTTTTGTTTGTACTAATTAAAATATTTTTGAAGGAATTTTATTTGCACTAAATATTTTATACCATGAAAGAAATTAATTTTTTTAATTGTATTATTTGATGGTTTAATTATTTATTTATACTTAATTACTAATACTAATACTAATACTAATACTAATACTAATACTAATACTAATACTAATACTAATACTAATTACTAACCTAACCTTATTTTAAAATATATACTGTTTAAATAGACGTCAAAAATAAATTTAACCAGGTTCTATGATTTACCCTCAAAATTAGTTAGTAGCTTCTGATCCACGTACAAAGATTCCACCAATCGATGGTATAGTAATTATTATAAATCATTAAATCATAATATTTATCCTTCTAAGGCTTTACACAGTGTATAACACATGTAAAACGTGTATGTATGTTTACTACAGAAAGTTAGTATTTATATTTCTTAATTGCATTTACATTTCTGAACATCTGATCGCGTGAAGAGTATAAAGTATGTTCCATAAATTACGACATTCGTAAAACATGTTTTTCTCCACCGCTAACAAAATTAATATTAAACAACGCGAAATACTTGTATAGTACCTAGTATTTGTATCAACCAAGAAAAAAAAAATTAATTGTTTTTGAAACAACACTTAAGACCAATAAAAAAAACGATTTTAAAATGCAGATATTAGAATACATATTGAGTAGACGATTTTTATTTTCATTATTTTTTATAATGCTATGAAAATAGCAATATTTTATTATAAATATTGTGTTATAATAATATACATTTAAATAATTACAGCGGTATCTTGAATCTTTAGAAAAACAAAAATAAACCGTCGTAATTTGATAATACATTAGTATACATGGCCTGAGGAACTTACGTTCCTATTAGATGTTAAACGTTTCTTAGCACTTAACGCCCGTTAAATAATAGAACTATAGTCGAACATCATAATGGCACACGACCGGTCGGTTTAACTTTAAGTAGACGTTGAATTTGTGGAATACTTGTGCAACCCATCATAGCGCATAGAACTTGTCATCATTGAATTGTTTTCGTTACAATTATTGTATATTTTTCTCAGTGAAAACTGTATACAAATATTGTGCGATATCGTCAGATTGCACTAATGGGATAAACGTTAGTATTAGGACAAACGAGTTTTTTAACTTTTTTTTTTTACATCACTCGTATTACACACACATACACACACACGTTTATGCGCGAATTATAACGTATAAACCTACTGCCATTCCGGTTAACTTGACGACCTTGCCACCACTTTTCTCTGTGTTTACTCTAAACGACCATTCCCCTCTCCAAAGGAACAATATTACTATTGCAGAAGCCCTGGGAGTAAACGTGCATCTCGTATTCCTAACTATCATTCGTGGACTTACAGTGGTTCGATCGCCGACGTTCAGTGAGACTATTTGTGTTATGAATAGAAGCGAATAACGAACGTGGTTTTTTTTTTTTTGTTTTTTTGTTCAGACGGTCTGCAATGCCTTTGATAAACGAGGAGTCAGGGACCCATCTCATAGGTAAGTCATTACAACAATCGATAAAAATACTTATAGATGAATAGGAATGGGTACCAATCTCGGGTTGTCACTGTTCGTTGTTTAAAAACAGAAAAATATTAATGTAATTCCTAGTGAATCTGAATAAACTTAAAAAATACTATGTTTAGTTTGGTATTAATTATCAAATACACACGCACATAGTAACGTATTTCTATACATTTAGTAACGTTTTTCTATCACGGCCCCATTTCATTTATTGTTAATGTATTGCCGTACGTTATTACGTGTACTAGGTATACTGTATTCCAGGAGCCTCTAAGCTTTTTCATCCGAGGGCCATATAAAATATCGAAAACGCTTAGCTGGTCAAAATTATAATACTGCCGATACAGATGATAATTGACTTGTGTACGTGACAACGACTTAGGATATTACACAGATTTTGATATTATATGGTAGTTCTCTGGAGGGGCCGGTTAAAACTTATTCGCGAGCCGCAGTTACACGATCATCAATACACGATCATCTTCATTAACACAAAGCTTCGACCGGTCTTCGGTGAAGAATTTGAACACTGATTTTTGGTCACGTTATTTATTCAGATTCTTGGTTAATAGTATTGATATTATTAATAATATAATATAATTAATAATTTATTATACGTCCTCGAAGTTCCTGAAAACTTGTTTGGCGAACGGATTTTTTGATTTCATTCTTTTCATTTCTTTTCAAAACTTCATTCTGGCCCAAATTACTTGTTTTTCTGGCAGAAAGATTTGCTATTTAATTTACAGGCTTTTTTACATTACGCAGCTGGGATCTTCAATCCCGAAGGTTTCCAATTTTCACAGATTATAAATCCATGCATACGATGATCAACTCTTCAAATCGCGCTTTTCTCTGTCTTGTCTATACTCATTAAATTCCAATTGTTCTATGTACAGATATGATTATGTTCTCCGACTACAAGTATATGGACTCCTAATTATAAGGATAAAAATTAAGAAGCGGATTCTCTACCCAAATATTTTGAATATAAATTCGCTTATAACATATAGTCTGTAGTATCATAAACAATACTCAATAATTATAGCTATATTTTATACGAGTATAAATGAGGTGATTTTAGTTTTTTTGACGCTATACCTTTCATCCTCAGACAGGCACGTTGCCAAGACAAGCTTGAGTGAGCCGGGCCCCCTTAAATTTACTCTGGTCTAAGACTGGTCCCCTAAATTCATACACAATTTTTTTTACCTACTAACAAAAACATGCTATTCTTGTAGTTTAAGCACATTAAATAAATTTATATTGTGATAACCATTCAACAATAAAATTTATTATGATTTTGATTATTATATAACTTATATATTTAGAAATGTATGATTGTTTTGATTAAATTTTAAATTCGTAAAAAATGTTGTCATAAAGTTAAATATAGGGTCGATTCATAGTAGACATGATATTATACTAGTATGTCAAATAGTACCCTCTATAGGCTCTACAATGTTCTCATAGGAACTAAATTATGGAAAATGGTACAAGGACCCAAAATTATTGGCCCCTATAATATACATTTTTTAGCTACGTACCTGTCCTCAGAATAATCCGGTATAGTTAAAAATACTTAACTTAAATGTTGATCCTTCTAATATGAAACTTATTTCTTCCCATACTTTTATAGTTTATTACTTATATATTCTTATTTTCAACAGTATCGTTAAAAGGGTTAGTTTTACGAGTAATTCAGAGATCTAAACTTATACTTTACTCAATATCAACATACAGTGTTTCTCCAACTCCAATATTCAAAACTGTGTGTAGAGAGCATCAACTTTAGACTATTTAAGTAGATGTGAATATTTATACGATCATTTTTGTCAAGCACCGATTTTTGTAGAAGAGAGATTTAACACAATATGTTAGATACTAATTATATTTGTTAAGCAAAGTTAATAACATCTACATTTTTGTAATGAAGATAATTATGGAACGGAAAACTGCAACTAGTTGTATACAAATTATCTAAAGTAAGTATATAAATAGTATAAAATCCTGGGTTAGATAATAGTTGGACAACATATTTGGAAAATTTGATATTTGAAATAGTGAAAATATAAGTTTATAAAAGTTTATTCTACAATAATTAAATGCATATTATAACTACTATTTAAAATATTTATTAGTATTATAATATAAAAATAAATATGCAAATTAATTTTTTACATGTGAAAAAAAAACTATTTATATTATTTATACTATTTTTTTATATAAATAATAATAAACGGTACAAAAAGAACTACAACTTCGAACTAAATTTAATTGCATAAAATGCAAAAATAATATGTTCAAAAATTGAAATAAAATGTAAGACGTAATCGAATATAAATTGTCTCAATTAAAAAAATAAACAAAATTACTTATGTTAGAAAACCAGTTTTATGGGTTTTATAAAGTTTATTTATTAAATATTAAAAACTTGCCACTGAAATTAACGTTTTAAATTTATTTATTGATGTATACAATATTTTCTTTAATGAAAATTATTTTTATTTAACTTTCATAATTTAATAAAACACTATTGATTTTACTTATATTTTCAGAGTCAACTAAAATTAAAGAAAAATCAATTATACCAATAACAGCTGAAGAAGAATATGCAAAAAATCCAGAAGTATCAAGAGAAACTATAAATGATTTAAAAAAATGGATAGCAACACAACCTCATTTACCACAGAACATGCCAGGTTTTTGATTTTTTTTTTTTTTTTTTACTAATATAGTGGTATTTTAATCGAAATTAGTTTATATATTTTAAAATACTCTAATATTCTAATACTAAAATAACTTATCAATAACTTTGATATTCAGCACGAATTAATTAAAGTGTAATACATCATAATAATTATACTCATTATATTAAATTACTCATCTTGATATTTTTCTAATGTGAAGAATTTATTAGTATTTTCAAAAGTTAAAATATATTATTGAAAAAAAGTATTAAAATAGAATTTTAATAAAATTTACTGAAGGTTATTTATATATATATATATATATATTATAAAATACAGTTATCATTTTTTTTTACGATAACACGTACAAAAACACTATTTTAATTATTCAATTTATATGGAAGTTATGAATGCACTTTGGTCTTTGATGTCTTTATAATTTTTATTGTAACATGAACATGGGAATGTTATTTCATACCTAATTGAAAGTGTTATTAAAAAATGTAGTTCGAATCAGATATATTACAAAATGTAACAAGCGTACAAGTTATTACTAAATAAGTTACAAGTATCTAACGACATTTAAATCCAGTATAATAAATTATCAATAATAACATTTTTCTGCACTTGTATAGATATATAATTACTCAATATATATTACTCGTGTATTCATCATTTGGAATCTTATTATTGAATATTTTAGTTAACTAGAATGAAATAAAAATTATTTATAGGGTCTTAACCTCGCCCCAAAAGAAAAAAAAGATTCAATATTCATAAATGACTTGCTACAAAGTTACAGAGATAGATAACATTAATTTATTTTATATGGTTGTAAATAACTTTTAATTTGTTATTATAATTATATGTATTTTTTATAATATTATAAAATTACATTTTTATTAGAAAAATTATAAACCATTCCCTCAAACAATTTGTAAATACGCCACTGGATATATAAGTCCCAATTAATGTATTTTTCTCGAATCTCGTATATTTTTCTCTAATAGTTTAAATTATTTTTGATTTATATTTTTCTAATCAATTGCAGCTATTGTATTATCATAATAAATTTTTGCACGAAAATTCCGGACATTTTATTTTTTTGCTATTACAAAACATAATTTATTTTTTACCAAATATTTTATAACAAATTACATTTAATTTGAGCAATATTAGTTATGGACCCTTTACTCTTAGATTTAAATCGTAGGGCCATATTTATGGTAATAACTAATTATGAGGTTGGCTATCAAAATAAATTGTATACATCTTTTTGCATTTTTTTTTTTTTTCATTATTTCTTTTCTTAAATTATACTTTAAACATTTATGTTTGCTCGTGTGCAGTTATTCTGATTAGGTTTAAATATTTTTAATTTATTATAAATGCAAGAAAATTTCAATTATTAATTAATATTAAATTCTCTAAAAATAATATACTTAATAGTATGTAATGTTGTTCCTTTTTTGATGTTACTGTTGACAATTTATTCACTGCAACTTTGTTATTTTAAAATGTTGTGAAATTAATATAATCTGTTTATTATATATATATTTTTATTTATTTGTTGACACGAGGAACAGAATTACTTTTTTTTTAATTGATAAGCATATAAAACTTAAACATTTCATTTATAATTAAAATATTTCACATAATCTTATTTATTTTGAAACGGCGTTGTTTAATGTTAAATATATATACAATAAAGGGTAATTAAAAAAAATAAATAATTAATCAAACGTACGAGGTACCTATACCTATAACTAAATAGTAAAATATATTTATGAATACAAATTTATATTTATTGTTTGAAGGATTGGGTAATAGTATAATCAGATTGTAGCTATATGTAGTTACATATGACTTGACATGTTATAATTATTTTTATTGCAAACCGAAAATGTATGATAATATTATTATGGTGACGATAATGATGATGATCAATGTCAATTTGTGATTTAGAGCAGTTAGTTGGCTTTTTTTATATACGTTATCTCAGCCCACGGATCGGTCGTCAACCTGTCTGTAACTGATTGAAATCAGAAAGTAAATATGTAGGTTGATCAAATATTACAACACAAAAACATGTATTTAGCTATTGAAGATTAAATGTATACACTTGAATTGACAATTTAGACATTTAATGTAATCACTGTTGTTTGCAAAGAAATTAAATTAAAACATAAATATTTTTTTTTTGTTTAATTATTTGACTTTAATCGTACAAAACGGGTCTAATAAGGATTGGGTACTTATATGCGTGTGTTTACTCTACCGAAACTCTATGTAACAATAAAGACATTCTTCAAAAACCTCTTGAAAACACTCTTATTGTGCGGCATATCTCATATATATACTGTGTGTGTGTCAGATCTTAATTTCGAGCTGTAAAAAAATTATCATGGCGTCAAAACGTAAAAACTTGGCAATTTAATTTTAAATTGTTTATATAGTTGTATATTTGTTTGCTTTTTGATGTAATTTCCTGAAGAGTGTGCTATTAAAACAATGACCAGACTAAAATATCGTAGATTTATTATGGATGGAGATGAGTGGAAAATTCATAAACATTAAAATCGTGTTTTTGTTTTTGAGTTTCAAGCAAAGCGAGTGAGTGCTAATGTTTTTCTTTGTTCTTTTTTTGCCGTGGAATTTTAGTGTACACAGAGTTTATCGACAGTGATTAGCTTAGTGATTATAGCTCCGTCATGTATTTGAAAATTGGACAAAATAATAGTTCTTTAAATTTACGAATATAATCCTAGTCATTTTACAGATTGGTTTAGTTTCATTTGCAATACTAACCTTCTACGATATTTTTTATACAATTACCAATGGAGTTTAATTTCTCAAGAGATGTGTAAATATTTTATATTATTTGAAATACCTATGTACTAAACCTAAGCTTGAGACGTATGAAATGAAATAACCTTTCGAAATTCATTAACAATTTTCCATAAAGCACGCTTCAATAATTATAACATTTTACGTTGTATGTAATGTGTTATTCATTATAATGAACTTAATGAACGTAGAAGTATGTTTAATATATTTAATCTAGGAAATATTTCTTAAAGGGAGTTGAAAAAACATTTTAAAACCCCGGGTTGACAATTTTTCAAAAACTCGAGTACCACATTCATATATAATACGTACTTAAACATTTAAAAGTGACATACTTTGAAAAAATCAATCATATAAACAAATTATCAACTAGGACATGGGTTCTCAACCTTTTGAGATCTGCATCCCCTTTAAAACTATTTTATGAGTTCACGCTTCACCCTCTCGCTACTATAAGGTTAATGCATGCATAATATTTACATCTAAAGTATACTTTAATGTTGGTTATTGGATTAATAAGGATGAAGTTCTTTTATTATTATATTAATTTATTTACATAAAAAAAAATCGAAAATTGCGGCAAGGCGTAGAAAACGGCAATGTTTTCATTTTTCAACATTTACACGCCCCCCCCCCCCCAGATTGAGAACCATTGAACTAGGAGATCTTTTAGGGGGTGTTTTTTGATAATTTATATTTTATTAACATTCGTTTAATGGAACCTATTTATTGTTATTTATATTGCTCGTAAATATATAATACACCATATAGTATTAGCTGGTTAAAAGTTGTAGTTGCGTAAACGGATATTTTAAAATGTAAACTCTAACATAGTATTTTCTCTATTTTTTTATTCAGAGGAAATGTTGATACTGTTCTACCACAGCTGCTATTTTAATGTAGAGCAAACAAAAAATTGCATTGAAGTGTACTACACGCTAAAAACGGAAACGCCAGAATTTTTTGCAAATCGTGACATTACCAGGCCAGAACTCGTAAACGCCCTCAATACTCTGTAAGTGTACTATAATATATTATTTTCCTAGGCATGAAACTATTGAATTATTATTTCTATGACGATCTACCATGTTAATCCCTATACGATTTGAATTTGATTTACATAATGTAGATATGTATTATTATTATGTGATGTATAATGGTACATGATTGAAGACTACCTTCGTTCTATTGTTATACACTTTTAATGAGATATTGCATTACGGTAGAAATATATTTAATAACCCTAATTTATTTTATTTTTTGTACGGAAAATAGGTATTTTTTTCGAATCCGTCATGAGCAAACCACGATCCGTGACGTATAGTGTAGGTACCTATTCATATATGTAATTGTAAAACGTTTGAACATGTCTCATTTTTTTTTTTTTTTTTATCTCAACTTCCTAGTTCATTAGCTGCATACTTGTCTATGGTATTTTTTCATTTTATATATGAAACATAATACGATAATAATAACAATAACAACAATAATAATAACACTAATAATCATTATTATTATATGTGGCAAATAATTAATATTTAATTATTTTATGACTGCCCACTATAAGATTGTTTTGATAAAACGTTCATTATTTACTACGAGAAGAAATATATCAACTTAAAGATCTTTTTTAAAGCGCGGACATTAATTGTTTTTTAACATAAATGGCAAAATACGAATCAAAAATAATATTATTGTAGCTAATCTAGTGTCCCTGTACGTATAATCTAATCGACATTAGTGGTTTAAGTAGGCAGGATATTTTTGATCAGACAATAACTATATCAATAAACTAATTTGCATAATATTTGTAAGAAAGAAAACGGATAGAAAATGTTCGGATTGAATTGTCTTTAAGAAAACGTTTCATTGCTATCGTAAATATAACACGAATTTATAATTAGCACATGTAATTTAAACATAAAATATGCTTAGTGAAACTAGTTAATTGACATTAACTATTATCTTGTATTCACGTACGTTACTTATACGCTTTAATTTTTTACGGTTACGATCTAAATATAATTAAAATCAATATTATGTTCACAAATATTTCGATATTAGGACGATAGTTTTAGTGTTCTTTTATTTTTCGATAGAACAATTTTTTTTTCTACCGAAAACATACAACGAACAATCATTGCGGGTCAGACGTTCGAAGACGGCGAACGGGAATATCCATATGATCAACCATACAACGTTATCATATATCAGTTATAAATTATATAATTTTCCATAGGAAATTATCTATTGAACTACAGGTTAAATGTTTTCTCGTCGTACAAATGTAAATTAAAGGTGTAATATCATAAAAGGTCATAAACCTTAATTTATTTTGTAGTCCGGTGTTGAAACAAACATAATACAACGGCATCGCAAATAGTATTCAGAAATATTACATGTTCAGTATAATAGGTATATTATGTTTAGTTTGAACACCAAACCTTTCATTGCGTTTTCAAGTTTACTAGTATAACGCATTGTTAAAATGTACTTTTTACTTTTAGTACATTAATACGTCTGTATGTATACTAATATAGTAACAATTGTGCGCAACGAAATTGAAATCGTTAATTTCATATTAGTTTTGTTATTTCAGTAGCTACTTCGTGTTATTAATTATTATGCTTATCCTTTATTAATATTTTAACAGTTGGTTAATAGTTTTATATATTATACGCAAGGCCGGCTCAAGGTATAAGCGAGAAAGGCACCTGTCTAGAGCGGCACTTTAGTAGGCGCGACATTTTCAAAATTGACTACTTCATTATTTTTTAGATCTGTCGATGTTTTATAAGAAAAATATTTAAATTAATTTATTCGTGAAAATCACTTACCTATATAATAAAATAATACTGTCTAAAGTTATTATATTACTTTATATTACGGCCTACGCAGAGAATTTTCAATTATCCCAAAAATATAAATATCCACTTCCGCGATTTCCGACAGTCGCAATAGTGATGGGTTTTGAGTAATAATAATAGAAATTATTTTTAAGTCTTTTTAAATATAATTTTATATTTAAAATTAAAAATTAAAATTGTTTTTATGTAGATATATCACATAAAAAATAGGGGAGGGGCTAAGTTAAAGAGTTAGTTAAAGAGCTCAATTTTTTATTTGTAGAGACTGCAAAATTTTATTTTGCCTAGTGCACTATTTTTGCTTGAGCCAGCCCTGATTATACGGTAACATTTAATCTCACATATTTATGTTTCATAGAATCCAAAATAAATTATAAAATTATATCAAACATAAACGTTATAGATTTCATTCTTATAAGAAAATGTAACATTAGAACATCGATACAAAATTAATATTCCATAGTATTTAATATATATAAATATAATACATTCATTTATTATATAAATGTACATTATTAGACAAGATGTTAGTAAATAAAACAATTAGTGTTTAGTATATACATCACATGTCGAATAATGTCTAAGTTTTTAAAATTATCATCCATACATTAAGTTATGTTTGATTTTTAAAATGAAAAAAAAAATTACCTAATTAGTTAGCATTTTATTTTAAATGACGTATAATGTATTATAAAATCTGATAATAATGGTAATATAATACTATATCTTAACAGCTGACCTTGTGGTTTTTAATAATATTGAAAAAAATTAACAGTTTTTCCTATTTCAACACCGCTTTGCCTCGGACTGTGCTGTATTTTTGATATTTCTTTTAACCTCACGTAGGTTTTTTGCATTTACCCGCAGAAAGATATCATATTACCTACAACAAAAATAGTTATAATCGAAATATATTCACACGCACCATAATACTATTAAATAGTATACGAAATTTTTGTCGTCAAATTTAAATTTAACTTTTCTCGTGTTTAATGACCAATGCTGCTGATGTACTCTGAAATGCAAGGCAATCGACAGGGGTAGGGGACGATTTTGCTCCTGACCTCAGTCTAGGAAATTTTGAAGAAGATCTCCTTAATTTCCAGGTTGATTAGAAATACTCGACGTTACACAATAGAAATTATTGATATTAATAAATTAATTTTAAATCATTTTTTTATTATACAGGCTATATTTTCGGTTATTATGATTTCTAAATAATTATAACTGTAATTTATTATTATTGTTATTGCCGAAGTCTGAAGAATGATATAATTTTATCCAAATTTACATGAAAATTCACTATCGCAAGTATCGACGTGATAACATCTAAGTTCTTATTGTCTATGACTATTTATAAATTATCTAAGTATAAATTAAATTTTTATTAAATGTAGTAACTGGCAATACATTATTGAAAAGTTATTAAAAATGTAATTCATTGTATCGATGCATTTAAATGATTTTGACACTATTTTGACAATATTAACACTATATAAACCAACGTTTTGCAAACTTGATATGTATTTTTTTTTTTTATTATTATTATACTCGTATATAATTGTGAAGATTGAAGGGGTCCCAAATTCATTTGCCCATGTTCCTAAAAATTCTTAAGACTCGGCTGAAATGTGTTTCAATAAGTACGATCCTTTATTCCTAGGATATTTTTAAATTTAAATTTTTACTGTCGATTAAAGACATAATTTCTAAATATTTCTACAAAAGTACAAACGTACAATATTATGCCAATTGAAAAATTGATAGCATTCAAAATTAATCATCTCATATGTATACCTAAAATTTATTTATATCTATGCCTTTAGATGGATGTATCATATATCTAGAGAATTGTTTTATTAATTTTTCTGTATAATTTGAATCAAGCAGATTTTAAAATGATAAAACTTAAACATACGATTAGGCAATTAAAAAGTAAATATATATATTTTGTGTAACCTTAATTTCACACGGTAATTGTCAAATTAAAGCATTCTTTTTTATAATAGTTATAAAAAAGAATTTGAGAAGGTACACACAATAATATATGTACAAAATTTCAATAGCATTAACTAATATGATAGAAACGAAAATAATTTTACAAGAGATGGGAACAACCTTATACTATACATTTTATTTACATTGATTTTTGCGTCAAGTTGCACTTGAACAGTTGAACAATTGTGTTGTATTATATTTTCTCTCGCGTTGTTGATAACAATAATATACATTTTAATTTAAAATTCTTTGTTTGAAATTAAAGAAAAAAATAAATGCGATATAAAAAACTGTTTGTTATAATTATGTTATATTTTATTTGAATGTCACGTAATTGAAAACACACCGACAAAAATCTCGTATTCATTATACTAAACTATGTTCAGTAAGTTAAGAGATAGGTAGGAATTAAAAAAAAAGTACCAGTAACCATGACCTTAGATAAACCTTTTATGACGACTTATAAAATTCATGGCTTTTTTTTTTTTACAATTATTTTGGTTTGATGGTCACGCATACTGTAATGGAAACAACGTATATTTTGTACTGCGTTGTGTATAAAAGCAGTTCAAGTATTTAAAATAAGAACTGAACATCCTTCTAAATCATCTTTGGTTAGATCTCGGATTTGAGTTATTATCTGAGTCTGCGGTATAATAATAAAATATTACTATAAATTATATTACATATACATTTAATATTATTATTGAATTTGATACTGTGTGGTGTATAATGTACTATTGATGCATTATTATGATGTCATTCGAATTTCTAAAGAAAATGTTTGAATCCTTGTGCATTTCGAGACTGTTGAAATTACGAAAATAGTAAATAGTTATGAAGTATAATAAAAAAATATCTGTCAACATTTTAATACGCTATATACTAAATAAATAGTTGAGAATCATAAAAAAAAAAAAAAAATGTTACGTTTTCTTGTTGTTTAAACGTCAGGCAATTTACGTAGGTACTCAGATGCTTTATAACAAAATAAATATTAATCAGTGTCCACTATTTAAATACTATATACAATGTATATAGTATGTAATATTACAATAAATAATGTACATTGTACATAATACCTTTGTGTACCGTTTTGTTCGAAAACCGAGACGTGAAAATAACGATTCGAAAGAGCAACTTATCTACAGCGACACACTGATGTAGAGAAAAAATCTCTCTATCCTGTTCTAAAAAGAAAATTAATTAAAATTACCAAAACTAACGCCAAACCTAATCGCAATACAAACCGTGTAACGTGCAGCAAGTTGAGCGTGTGTTATAAAAATTTTCAAAAATCACCCCCTGACCCCGTTATCTATTGGTCTGGATCCACCCTACCCGTGCGTGTGTACCGGGCACAGCGATCCTCCCGCAATCAAATGTTTTGAGCGCAATGTCATAACTTTAAATTTTCATTTTTACACCCTTGTACTGATTACAAACGTGTTGTACGTTTGCAGGGATTACGGGTGCTTGCCGACTCGCAACCCGAACGGTTACCAAATCATCTACCACAAGTTACGACTCTTCGAGGCCAACAAATACGTGTTTAACGACGGCGTTAAGCTGCTGGTTATGGCTATGGATGCGTGCTTCAAGGTGGACGGTACTTGCCCTGGGTACATATTCCTGTTCGACATGCGTGGCGTCCGATTGGGCCATCTCACCAGGCTGAGCATATCGTCACTCCGAAAGTTCTTCACGTTCATACAAGTACGTACACATGACCAATATAGGTGATATTGAAATAATCTATTTAGTGCAGCGATAAGGATGATGACTCGTATTGACGTAATATACGCGATGAAAATCGCACGACATGAACGTTAAGACAAGCCATCCCTTTTATTTTTCCTTTCTATACATCTCATGTCCGCAACGTAAGCCCGTTCAATCTATTTTCTAAAGAAATAATTATTGCATATATTTCTGTACACTCAAGATAATCCTTTGCGACGAATCGTCTTCACGAGTAAAGGTTTTTTTTTGTTACAAAACAATTTAATCAAACTGTAGGGCAATTTTATTTCCTCAACAGTTTCATCCCGTAATAATTTCGATTTTGTCTTTTTTTTCTTTTCGGTGACCAACGGTCATAACAATTTTCAATTTTTATTAGTTTCATTTAAATGTCAGCCCCGATAAAATGATATAACCGATAAACATTAAAAAAAAAGATTAACAAATTTCTTTTGCACATATATTTTTTCTCTCATTATTATTATGATCCAAAAACTACAAATCCTCTCTTTATTGCAGATGTCCGTGAACTTACTTTACGTATTCGACCAAATAAACCGCAGCGTGTTATTTTCCTATCACTTATGAACTGTCAGTAGTTAATTATATTTTAAAACAGCAATAATTTGTAAATAATAATAATAAACAGCAATAATTTGTATTTTATTCATTATGAGGGCGGGGGGCGCAATTTTATTGAAAAAACTAGAAGTGCTGAAGCCCTCTATCTTTTCATATTCCTTTGTGGTTATAGACACCCGCAATCCGCACAATTCAACAATTACTAAAATATTTAGTAAATATTTAAATATTTCTAAATTTAATTTTATCATTCTGATTTTATATTTGTATTGCACGTACGAGTATAACGTGTTACTCGTCTGCAAACACAAATGTTTCATTGCATGAGTAATTTTTAAATTATAAATTTTTAAACAAAATAATAAAACTTCGTTTTCTTTACATAACGAGTAATGACTAAATTAACATGAAAAATGTTGAAGGTGATAATTTGGATATTAGGAGTGCTAAGCACATCCAAATTGCACCTATGCACACAAGTACCTAATACTATTGTTAATATCATAGTGCTTCGCTGGAAAATTTCGCGGTAATTCTTATAAATATAACTAACAATACCGTGTTGAACGGTTGAAACAAATTTTTACTTTAAAATACATAATTAAATCATTAAATGATAACGTTTAAATAAAATATTAAAATTTACCATTCCTGTATGGTGTACAGTGCTAATACCGTATTGCTGAATTTATTTTTGGTTTAGCAAATGGATTAAATAAGACCAAGGTCGACGAGAATTATCGATAATATTAACTTTTACATAGAATGCGTATATTAAATGTAATTAAATTCAAAATTTTAATACGGCTAAATCTAAATAATACACCTTACGATTTTATGTTATACGTTCCCGGGTATATAATTTTTAATTAAACGTTCACGTCATCTATAATCAAATCCAATATATTCGAATCAATATTTAGATGTGTTCGAATTAATATAGATACATACATATATCAATCATGAGGCTGAAGTACATCCGGCATGCATACAGACCATACGTGGAAAACACTGCACAAGTAATTAGTTCCGTAGCAACCAAATATTGCGCCCGGGGTGAAACTCCAAAATACGCCCTAATGTAATTTTACTTCAAAAAAATTATAATTATTAGACTTTATTTTCGACAATTGTTTCAATTAATACGAGTATAAAGGACAATGAAGTTTTTGTAATAATAAAATATACAACATTGAGCGTTGTAATTTTTATCATACAATGCAAATTTTTTTTATTTTCGCGTCCACCCAAGAATTGCTCCCGGAGCGTATACACCTCTCATCTCTTCCCCTTTATTATGGCCCTTGGAGTAATATATACCTATAGTTGTAGTATGTATAGACGCACAGGCTAATAGAGGAGTTCATTAAGTGCATTTATTTGCTTTCAACACGGAAAATATACATCCTATGGAATAACGATTAAATACTTTTCTAAGAATTTTGACAAAAATTATTGTCTGATTAAAAACAATTTTTCCTTTTTTTTTATCAATTTCTTAAAATCGAAAATGATAATGATGGACCTCGGACGAAATCCCGACCGGCACAAAGAATTCTTTTAGCTCGCTCTTCACAATATCTTTGTAATACAATGTTTATAACCAAGTGAAAAAATAGGTAGTACCCGCTTTATACAGGTATGTATGAATGAGAATTTTTGTCTACGGGCTACTTTTAATCCTCCCCCCCCCCATCATGATAAACCACTAGAGAATCTGATTTATAAGAGTTTTCAAAAATTGTAGAGACGAGTGATTACTAAATGTACCATTGTCCCGGTCCTTATAACAGATCTTCATTTTTCGCCCCTCTGATCAACTATTTTATACGTCGTTGTATAACCGATAACAATGTCTACATAATAAGTTGATTATAATTCAAAAATAAGAATAAAACAATAATTTTGAATATATATAAATATTCAAAATGATTGTTGAACATATTTAAATATTTTACGGTGTTAATATGAATTAAGTTTTTGTTGACACTTCCCCATGAAAACATCCATCAAAATAATTAAAGTAAAAACTTTTATATTTGTTACATTTATACATATTATACAAATGTATTTAGAATTTTAAACGCATATTAAAATCACTTGCTTAATTAACTGGTGTACTTTAGTTATTTAACAGATGGCGTGTTTATCATACATCATACAATCATTTTATAATTTTGGCAATCGAAAATTATCATGTAAAATAAATAAGTGTTTGTAAATACGTAACTATATTAAGGAAAAAGTGCAATTTACAACTATTAATAATAAACTTTTATCCTAATGGCCTTGGCCTATCGGTAATAGTAATTTTCTTGAATGCCGTGATCTAAATAACTACAATATCATCGTATATATTATACATACATACATATATATATATATATATATATATATACACAGTATGATCATACTATACGTTCATGCAATTATATAATAAAATCTCATACAATATTTGGTAATAACCCGTTCCTATTCATTAATACAACTCATGAGACTTCCATTTTTATGAAATATGATTTAGCCGTCACTTTTGTTTTTACTCGAAATGGTAAATACTATGACCTTAAGAAAAAAAAGGAAAATATGACCCGTCATAGTACTGTATAATATTTAACTTTTAGCATTTTCCTATTGATCTACATAATATTTTGAAAACAAATTACTTAAACTCTTTTGACGTCAGTAAATCATATATAACATGATGTATGTATAATATGTTTTAAAAAATATGAACGTTTTATTGCAGGAAGGTTTACCTGTCCGTCTGAAGGGTATACACGTATTGAACACTCAATCGATCGTCGACAAAATTATGATTCTGGTGAAACCGTTCATGAAAAAGGAGCTGTTGAGTATGGTAAATATTGGTTTGTTTATTTGTAACGTATAAAAATAAATGCACCAACTTCCTATGACATAGGAATTGCACCTATGAAATTATTACGCGTTACCGTTGGGTTTACCGCATACGGATGTACGGACAGGAAACTTAATAATTAACAAATTATAATAATATATTCAAATTTATTGATAGAAAGAGAAATGCATTATATATGGATAAAGTTTCATTTGTTTTTCTTATTGGATTTTACTTTTAACATACTAACAAAAAAAAAAAAATAATAACAATAACAATAAATATGCTAAACAATACCATTATTATGGTTTTCTGTTTCATTTTAAACGTAAGAATAGTTCTTTCATATAGGTCAGAACATAGATATATTATTTTTTCTATATAATATATTATATATAAACAACAAGTGAACACGTCATACATGTTTAATGTGATCTGCCCAACACCAAAATCACCTAATCGTCCTAGTTTTACCGGCTGAATTGTGTGCACGTTAATAACTATAGTAAATAATAATATACTTTTACTATAAAGACTGGTAATTTTTCTAAAAAAACGACAACGACTTACATTGTTCCCTCCTCTCTGTCATTCATTTAATATGATAATATTTAAAACAAACGTGCGTGTACGCTGAATGTCAACTGGACTCAACATTTCACTATGGGCCATAAACTTTCCAATGCCAAACAACTTTACTGCATTGTATGGTTATAAACTAATAAATAGCAAATATTATGAGATTCGACCAGGATTCCATATGCATGTTCACACCAGTGTAAATTGTCTCTCGAAAATCGCAATTGTGCCTCCTCCTCCGATTTCTATATCGTATGGACAGTATGTATTATGCAATTCAGCTGGGAATTTTAGCGGTCCAGCCGGTTGGGCTTTATTTCGACTAAAATATTTATGAAACAACGAGCAATATTAACATACAATAATGTTACTGTGGGCATCGTCGCGCTATGGTGAGTCCTTCGTATTTCGCATATTTTGCACTTTCGTCCCGGTATCGATCAACATCTGCTACATATATGGTCCGTATATATTCGAAATCAATTTTGCTAAAATACCCGAATCAAAATTATCATAAAAATATTCAATTAATATCCATGAATATTTATTGCATTAATATTTCGTGTTTATTTACTCGTAATTGAATAAACGCAAATGGACAAACGACAAATTGATCGGTCACCTTTCACCTACCACAAGATATCTGTCTAGACCACCCGACGATTAACCACACAGTTGTGACAAAGAAGATATTTCTTTCCGATTCAATTGTACAATCTTGTACATATTTGAAGATCGTTTATTGTGCTGAAACCGTTAAAATTTATTAGAAAAAAAAAAAAAAAATCTATTTCCTTTATAACTAACTTTATATAACTATTATATAACTAACTTTATATAAAATAACTTAAGTGCAAATGAGGGTAGGCGGTGTATCAAAATAGTCAAAGACCCCATTTGGAGTATCGCAGAGGGTACATTAGTAGCCCTAATTTCCCCCGAATCATAATTGGCTTGCCTTAATTTCATGCTGGCACCGATGCCCCATGTATCAGAGTTAAATTTAATTAATTAATGTTTGAATTGAGCTTATAGATGACAGTGTCATCTAGATTACAAATATATATTTAAAAATATTATAAATATAAAAAAAGTTGCTTGCTAATAACTACTATAATCTAAAATAAGTACAAGGTCTATTGGGAGCATAGGGTTCTATTTTAATTTTGCAGTTTCTTTTGCTATTTGCTATTTTCTTTTTACAGATTTATTTTTCATCCCTAATAGTAAGGTAAGAAATAACTCCAACATAGCGTCAAACCTATTTTTCAATTTTTATCGTTATAACTGTGGCCTGGTAAAAAAATTGGCAGCTATTTTAAAACTGAAACGGCGCCACTGAAAATAGTACCAACGGATTATCACGGAGATGATGAAAAGAAATGTTAACTCTTTATCCTCCTCCCTTCTACGACGTTTACAACTTTAAGTTATTTAGTCATCCGACACTTAATTTTTTTCTATTCGCTGTTGATTATGATAAATCTTTGAGTAGTAATTCAAATAAGTGTATACAATCATCCAAAATATAAATCATTTGAAATAATATTGGACATATGTAATAAACTGATCCTGTTAAAAATGAATGACCCAAATCCTCGGATCGCCTAAAACATAAACATTGAAAATTATTAAAAAACTATTTATAAGTTTATATATATCCGTGTATATATATATATGCATGTATGTATGTGCAGTCGATGATAATCATGCAACTTAATTTGTTGTCCTATTTCACACGGCCTTGTAAATTGTCTGAAACCCCCAGACGTTTAATTCCGCGACGATGACGAAAATAATAATTTTTACTTCAAAGAATTTTTTAGTCATTTTTTTTCACGACGTTAAACATATTTAATATTTGTGCAAAATTTTAATAATAATATTCGTTTATTAGTTGACGTTAGTTACAATAATGATTGATTTGTCCTAAATAGGTGTTTTAGTAAGTAGGTTAGGTTAGCCTATTTATACGAATAAATACACAAATGAGTTCAAGTACATGTATGAAATGAATCTTTAAAATATTTTTTTATCTCTCTTGTACACACAAAAAACTTACTGTACGCGCACACATTCATAAAAACAAGTTTTTATCAACTTTTATTTATTTAATTAGCCTGATTTCAGTGTACTCCTCGAATAATTATTTAAATTAATAGGACACAATAGTTTCTTGTTCACTTTTTTTCAAAATACATCATTTTATTTCATTATTGAAACCCTTTATCGGCCGAAGAAACAATTTATGTACACGTATGTGTAGACACGCAGTGCCGGTGGAAGTCCGATGCGAAGAGTTAGCGCCAGACTCCGCTCTGTCTGGGTTCATTTACAACTTGATTTGTTCTCAAAATAAGGTACATTTTGTTCTCTAATTTGATACATACTGCTCTTAAGACTTTCGTCTAAATACACTGTTGATCCATTTGAACGATTTCAAACGTTTAAAGTAAACTAATTCTAACAATGAAGACGTGTGCATTCATAATTTTGTCCGTAATTAATTATAATACGATACGTGACAATACGTGAAATATATTGTTTTATTCGGTCTATATGTAAATTAATGATGCATAGTAAATATATTTGTATTGTACATGTTTTGAATGTTACTGGTTCTGCAATCAATATGAAAAATAACAAATATTAAATTATACGAAAATAATTCGGAATGATACACTGTACATAGTGGATAGTAGTTTTTGAGTTCTGTTCGGACCGCTTTAATTTCAATAAGTGGCTTTGTACTGGACAACATAAAATTGCCCTAGGGTATGGTTACTATATTTTAATCGGCAAAAAACCGGAACAAACTTTTTTTTATTGGCATAAACTTTTGTTGATTTTTTGATTATACAATTATTATATTTTGAGCTAATCCAATCAACTTTCTTCGAGTGATAAGTTATGCCATTCTTTACTTTGTTTTTTGAAGAAGTTTTCCAACATTTTAAATTATTTAAAAACAATTGTTTTCATCAATACAAATCGAATTAACACGACTTCGTCAGTAAATTATTCAACTTACGATTATTTCATTATGGTTTTTCAACTTAGAGTTAAAATAAAATACATACATAGGCACATTGTTGAAATTTTATTCCGGGACAATTGGTCATCTCGAAACACATTATTGAGGCACCGGGACGCCATACTCAAAATCGGTAACGTCCCGGCCAAACCTACGGTAACCTAACCCTAAGATCCCGCAAGACATTTCGTACCCACGTTAAAAATACATACATATGGAATACGTGTGTAACGGTTATTTTTTCTGAAACCATTTCAGGTGCATTTCTACACAGAAAGGGATCACGAGAAAATTTACGACATTTTGCCAAAAGAGTGTCTGTTAGAGGATTACGGCGGTCTATCGCAATCCATCGAAAAATCACACGGTACGTATCTGTTAGCCGCAATCGTGCACAACATATCGCATCGCATATTATGCACGTATACAGTTAATGATGTATAGCAGTGGTTTTCAACCTTTTTTGGATCGCGACCCCCCATTTTTTATTTTTGTGTAATGCGACCCCTTCAAAAAAAAAATGTTTTATTCATCAAAATTTGATTTAATTACCGATAAAATATTTACATGATAAACAATTTTGATTAATTAACACTTAAAAATTTCACAAAATAAATAATTTACTTTGTTTTTTTTAAATAATATGGAAAAACCATTTCATCCATTATTTTTGGTGACCCCCAAATCTGTGATTCGCGACCCCCAGGTTGAAAACCACTGATGTATAATATCGTGGTGAGGGGGATTATTCTCGGCTGGTGTTGTAATACAAATATTAATTTGTATGTTTTGCGTTGATAATTATATATCATACCGAATTGTTGGTATGATAAATTTAAACGTCACGATGTTGATAATTATAATTGCAAACTGTAGTATTAACCTAAAAGCTGTTTATCTGTAAATTATAATACAGTTACGATTATTAAAGTACACGAGGGGTGTATTATTATAATGACGCCAGTGACGAGGGTAACGGGACAAATAGAAGTATTTTTTAACATTTCTCCACGAAATAAAAAAAGTAAGGTACGTAGGCCGTATGTTTATATTTACATATGTGTACGAGACGTCCTTCGAGCATTATTAAGAAGTAGGAGTTTATTTCGCTGTACGTAAAGTGATAAAAACTCAATTTCTTAGTGTTTCTATAATTTTTCGCACACATACAGACATTGATACAGGCGCAGAAAAATGGCCAATCAGACAGAATTGGTAACGCAGTGATCGCAGTATCACAGTATATTGGTATCGCAGTGGATCGTAAATTATTAATACTTTCAACGCAATTCCAAAAGCGTCTTACGAGGGTTAATCGTAAAGGAGAGCCATCACTCCCCGTCGCACTCGCACCGAATCGGACAACACACCGTTTTGACGGCACACGCAATACGTTTAAGTCGTACGTATATCCAGGGGCGGAACTAGGGGTTGGAAGACGGGGATTCATCGCCGGGCGTAAAATTTTAGAGGGTGGTGTAATTTTTTTAACTTGTTAACGATTACAAAAATTGTTAATTCGTAAATCGATTTGATATTTTTGACTTTGTTAAACACCGATATTAAGTTAAAACGCAACAAGTACGATTGTATATTAATCGTTAGAAAAAAATCCTCGAGAAGATTATTCGATCATCGGTGTACGGTAGGGCGTGATTTTAACATTTTCCCCGGGGCGTAAAAAATCCTAGTTCCACCTCCGAGTACACTGTACGCGCGCACCAAGCCATCCGCTCCGGGCGCACATACAACTGCGAACCGTTACGCCACGAACGGAATCGTTCCCAAAACTCGCACACGCTCGGTCACCGTTCGCTCCAGCACACATAATACAATATCGGCGCGCGTACTGCGTACAGTTGGCGCGAGGAATAAACTCTGTGCAATAGCCCGTCACGACGGATTAAATTATGCGCACGACACGTCACCGGGTTAAGTCGCGTGTTTGACCCTATTGTTTATTGTTTTTATCATTTTTAAGAGCTTTCAGTAAGAACTATTATGGTTCAGCAATTACAGAATTATACACAATGGCTTAATAATATTAATCACGACAAGTGCACGCGATTAGACGTGGTACGTTGTTAAACATAATACAACAAACCGAAAATAACAGCAATTTTAAATAATAATAATGAGTAATGATATAATTAGATAAGATAATAATATCATATTACAACGGCAGTGAGAAGGTAATATTACTAGGGGATATAATCGGTCGAGAGGAATTTATTTAAAGCGAACGTAAGAGTTTAATGATGTTTATTTTTCTGTGGGGGACGAAAATAGGAGAGAAATTAATAGTTATTGAACCATTTAATTATTTCATTTTAAGAAGAAGGTAAAGAAATAAAATATGACAGCAGATGTATTAAAACTGTTGTTAATAGTATTAGTAATGCGTTAATTATAGTATTGAAATCGTCGAGAAATTTGGAAATACAGTTCTCTGGCGTAGCTGAAAATGTTATGTTGGCAACGGAGTTTGCAGTGATGTTGATATATGATTACTGTTGTTTCTGATTCGAGTTGGGAGTGACTTGTAGGCGATATGGTGAAACTGGGAGCGGAATGATGTGGAATTTGTCTTATTGATATTTTCTATGGTTTACCATAAGTTTTTTAAACACCAGAAATTGTTTATACGAGACTATGAATGGCCCTGCGCATAGGGCACACTTGGCGAGTTCTGACGGTGATTTGACGAATTCCTAAGTGTAATGGTTATCTCCGCATTCGACACTTCGAGGGGACTGGTTATGGGAAACAAAGCTTGACAATGGCATGAAATTGTGGAAGGATGAATTTTTTCTTTGACAACTCTAATTTTAATTAAAAAGAAGCAAACTTGATTTAAAAGTATTACTATTGTTTTCGACAACTTTTAAATCAATGCCAAATTAAGATGATGGCAATATGTGATACGATGCATAATATTAGTGACCCGAATAACTTAGTTAAGCTGTCATATATAATCGAGTGTTTTAGAGTATTTTTAATATATGTATAACCGATATACTGATAAGATCAAGAAATGATTTTCTGAGAGTGAACAATTTTACTTAGATAATAGGGAGGTGCAATAGAAAATTTATTTGGAGAGGATTTCACATAGATGAGCTGTATGTTGCATTGGTCTTGCGATGATATTGCGATTGGTGGATCCGGTGAAGGGCTAAACACCTGATAAAATGCAGTGTCTTCGGAGAGAGAGGCATAGCGATTTGGTGTGGCAAATACTTTGCTTATTTTATCATTGTTTTTCGTAAGCGAAGATGATGACGATGAAGATAAATTTCGTTTAGAAGTATTCTGAGTCACGCTTGGATTTACAATAATTTAATTAGACTCATTAGAGATATATAACATATGATAGTGCAATTAACGTCTGTTCAAGTAGAACGACCGCTTTTGATTACTTTTATAAATACGGTTCAAAATTATCGTCTGAAAATTTGGACAGCGGCCGGCAGGTTTGTTGACGATGTTCTCCAGGATTATTATAGGTGGTGCGCGTGGTCCTTCGACTACCCCCCCGTAAGACTGTCTACATGATTTATACCGGTTTCGAATCAATGGCGTAGCTATCATAGGGCAAAGCGGGGCAGTATCTTAGGACCCCGGAGTATAAAGGGCCTTGGAATCCTTGAACGATTCTGAGACTATACTTCTTCTAAGTAATTGAAAATAATAATAAATTTAATTCCTTAATTATACATGGTAATTCTAGTCACGATCGAATAATTAAGTTGAATAAAATTCACGCAACATACAATATGTTTTTTATATGATTAAATTGGATTTCCATTTTCTTTGTTTAATTATTAATTATCTTCGTTTATTGTATCATAGTAAATATTAGCATTTGAAAGAACATTATGACATGAATATTTCGAATTTTCATATTAAGATAATAGCGAAAAAAGTTTAATTACAGCACCGGAGCTCTTTCCTAACTAGCTACGCCACTGTTTCGAATATTCCATAATTCTGATAGTTCACCAATACTTTTCTTCACCGAACTCGACATGACGATAACATTAAATACGTAATTGTTCATGTGATCAACAGAGCGAGTTCAGTGCGCGATTCTCAATGTCTTATCGGCACAACGCATTCAGTATATTTAACTTATACTCGAGGGGCTTCAATATTCATACGTAAAATTCAATCCTGTTTATCCTTCAACGCCGGCGACGAGACCAGGCGGAAATTTCATGACATAACATGGCATATATTTTCCTGTAATTATTATACATACGACTTTTTTTTTTTTTACCTAACACGGCAATACCGCGATTATGGCTGTACACCAAAAACGTTTCACACATTTATTGATTTTTTTATTTCAAATTTTTTGACAATCAAACCAATTCAGAAGACAAAAATCGTTGTCAATGGAAGATTAGGTGGTAATCGCCTCGCTAAAAATACATATAGATGAAATATTTTGTTTTTTAGAAATATTGTATTTCATCACTTTATTTGTTAAAGTATTCAATCGCATATTTCATGATGGTTATGATTCTGATATATAATAGTGATGAAAGCGAATATATTGCTCATATCGTTGCCCCACCCAAATATTCGGCTCTTGAACTATGCGCCTACGCTTAGCGCCCTCATCTCAGCACCGCGAACAATTTCACAGATTTCGCAGATAAAACGATCTTGAAAAATTTAAATTAGTGAGGTCTAAGATATTTGGTTTGCATCGTTGCGGCGTGCAAATAATAATTATATGGTTTACTGTGACAATTCGATACGAAAACCCACAAACACAATATCGGTAGTATCGGGTTCGACTTGCTGTGAGATTACATTTCCGAATTAATCCCTTTGGATCATTTTCCGGAATCGATTGAACAAATTGTAAATTTTAAAATTGCTCATCTACCAGGTTCATGTGGAATCTGTGACGGAAAATTAAATTACCAAAAAGTTTCCGCGTCAGATTCAAACAGACTTTTGGCATTTCTATTGCATCGAACGGTATAGGTACTACGCGCAATGGCGGTAAATACGTGTTAATTATGGTGTTGAGCTTGCGGCGTACAGAAATCGCCGTTTTACAAATACTTTTGGTGAAACATTAGTTTTTGAATGTTAGATAATAACCGAATAAATGTAAGGATTTATTGTCGCGGTAGTAACAGAACATATACACAATATATTGGACGTAATATTATATAATTCTCAAAAAAATGTATTTTTTTTTATTTCCGACTCATCGGACCGGCCGATGCGTGTACGGTAGTATGTAATTCAATTTTGATTTTTGTTTTTTATCTTGCAGCTCATTTCGTCGAATGGATGAAATTAATGAAACCGTTGTTTGAACACGACTATCAGTACAAAATCGACGAATCGAAGAGGCCGAAAAAAAGTAAGAAGTCCATTTCGACGTCATTCAAATCGTTGGAAATCGACTGATGCGGTTATTCGAAAAGTTATGCTCATTGCAAACAGAAAACGAACGTATCAATATTTATGGGCCGGGTGAAAAAACTAAGAATTTAGATTACTTTATATTAAAATCAAAATATGGTTACAGAAAGAAAAAAAACAATCATACACGATATGATGATCAAAAATCTGCAAGAACAATTTACGATAAAAATAAATTTAAATTTAATTTAACAGTTCAAGTCTGAGAATCTCATTGCGCTTTACTTATAATTGATCGATGAGATTTTATTTTTGTATCGTGCGATGATTGGTTGTACTGTTTTTTTTTTTTTTTTTATCGAACTATTATTGTATTTGAATATTTATGAACATCAGTAAGGCATAAGTGTATTTTAAATTAATGAAATATAAATATTGTTGTAAATAAAATTACTGTACAATGAAAACTACGAGAGTTGCGTAATATTCAAATGTTGCATATACACGTTTTAGAGTCATTATTGCGGCAGACATTTACATCGCTTTCATAATAAACACTCAACTTATTGTACGCATTATCGAGTACATAAAATCGTACCGAGTAAAACGCAAAGCGTTGTGCTTGTGCACTGCTAACCGTCATATTGCTTTGGAAAAACAACCGATGGGCGACGGAATCAGTTTCCGTTGAGTTGAATTGCGTAAACATTGATCCGCTGCGTTGTTTAACAGTTTTCGGTTCAGTTGTCTCCTAGACCAGCGGTACCCAAACTTTTACGACCACGGAACCCTTAGGAAATTTTTTTTTGTTTCGTGGAACCCCAACGTTTCTACCTCTAACTTGACCCCAATTTTTCATTTATTTATTGTAAAACTTATACTCCAAAAAATGTTTTATAAATATTTCATGATTATTATTTACAACAATTACCGTTCTCAATATTCATATACACCTTGCGAAACCCTTAACCGGCCCGTGGCCCGCATAGGTAATTATTAATATATAAATATCAGTAAATATAAGACATATTAGTAAAAGCATTTAGGCAAAAACTTATTTTATTTGAAACACAAATTTCAAAAAATTGTTTTACTCATTTTTTTTACTTGCGATAAATATAAAGAATGTAAATTACAATTTCCAATCAACTTCGCTCAAAAAATAATTTCTGAACTTAAAATTCAATTTAAACAAAGTTTTTCTGACCTTGTCATAAAATCTGAAGACATATTTTTCAAAATTCGTTTGGTTGTATTTTATATTAGTATACATACAGTGAAATCTCCCTTAACGGACACCTCTAAATAGCGAACGTTTTTATGAGAACGGGGACATTTTCACTGCTTTCATATAGGAAAACCCCATAATACCGGACACTTTTATGGAAATTTAATTTTGATTTTGACAATTTTTATCGTAAATATAGAATAATCATTGAATGCCATTTCAATCTATTCTTACTATTATGTATCATAAATTATTATATAATTATAGTTTATCTTATCTGTCCATTGATTCATCACGTCGATGAAACATTTTTCTAGATTAGGTTCTGTGAAGTTGTATGTATGTATGTATGTATGACTGTACAAATTATCATTATTTTACCTGCAACTTCATATTCAGTAGAAAGATCTTTCAGGTAATATTTTCTATATTATATTTTTAATTTGAATTCGGTACATTATTCTTATAAAAAAAATTGTCATATTTTTAGTGCATTACGTCATTTAAAGACATGGCTGAGAAACAGAATGGGAAATGAAAGGTTAAGTAGTTTAGGTCTGATTAATATTCATCGACAAAGATTCAAAATTAAGACATTTTTTTAACAGCAATTAGAAGGTATTATTGAAAAGTTTAGATTGAGTTCTAGTTGGTTGGCGTTGCTTTTCAATAATTAATTAATGTAAACAATAATATACATTTTTATTAGAAGTAATAAATAAAATAAGTTATGTTTTAAATATATTTGTTATACCCATCATTGATGATAAATAATATATGTCGTTTAATTAGTGCTAGGGGGTGTGAGGGGCAAAGTCTCCCCACAGCTTATATTGACACTAAAAATATTTTGCACCTAGTGAACTGTGAACTACATCTCTGCGGGCGTGCCTGCCTCTCCCTCCTCTGAATAGCGGACACCTCTAAATAACGGACAAAATTATGGCGATCAAGAGTGTCCGGTATTTAGGTTTCATTGCATATTTTATAAAAAAATTTAAAGTAAAAATAAATAAATTTTATTTACCTATATTTTCATAAAACTAAAAATTATTTGTTAATAAATTTTTGGTCTAATAAGAGCATTTAATTTTTTTTTGTGGCCCTTGAATAAAAAAGTTTGGAGACCTCTGTCTTAGACCATAATATACGGTTGCAGCCAGTGGCTGCTCGCGCTTATCATGCGATCACACCCCCTACGTGCATGTACGATTCCTCGCGTGTTGCGAATAAAAAATTGATTTAGAATTTAACAATTTCGGTATTATTGAAGTTGATACATTTTTTCAAACACGTAAATGAATTTAAAGTAAAACGCATTTAAAACACGTTTGTTGTCAATTTTAATTCTTACCACATCCCAATGCGATTTATTTAATAACAATCTAAATTCCGATCGACCATTGAACGCGCGTCGGTCCCCGCGGACCACACGCAATACCTGTTTTTAAAGTGTGTACGTGCGTAGTGATGTGGTATCGAAAGAAAAGTATCGATACTTTTACTTGGTATCGAATCGAATGAAAATATCGACACAGGGATGTATATAGATATTTTTTTAGGGGGGGCGCTGTGGTATTTTCTTAAACTGAAATTTCTCAATTCAGCATATTAAAAACAAAAGTTGGAAAATTAGTATACAATATTTAACCTATAATAGCGAAAACAAGAACAATTATACGATGAAAATCGATCACAGGGAGTGTTATCGGCTATCGCCATCACTTCTCGGAAATATTTTAGCTCATACGGGCTCGTATAAAAATTTTACGGTGATTGAGACGCGAGAACGCGAGTATATCGGTAAATCAATTCTAGGTAAAAGAAAACGAAATTACGATAATGCAGCAGTAACGCACGTCATCGTAATTGTAATATACACACGTGCGTTATTTTGACGCGCGGCACCACTTGAACACCAACATTTGACTTCGACCATTGTGTCGATACACTACGCGAAGTGACTTCTGATTATGGAAGTGTACAACCGAAAACTGGTAGTTTTTTGCATATTTAGTTTATAAAAACTATTTGTCGAAGAAAAACAGGCGTTACTGGGTACATCTCTTTAAGTTAAATATGTTCTATATACTATAGTATATAATATAACTATTATAATTATATTATACTCATTATGTTTACTAATGGCAGCGTAAATATGTTTCCAATTCAATAAGATGTCGTCCTTCTACAAAAAATATCATAAATATATATTTTAATGGGTGTATTAATAGTTTAATAGCACTCATAACATTATATTGTCAGTGATACTATTTTATTTCAAAGACGTTTTGGAAAATAACAGTACTGATTATACTTGTATCAAATTAATTTATATTTATATTTCCAAAACCAACCTTAGTACTGAATTGAAAAAAAATGTCAAGTAATTAAAATTGAAATTTGTTCAAGTATTTTAAACAATAATTTAGTAAAATAGATATATAACACATTCAAATTTCCATAAAATACAAACCGAAATAAACATTAAAAATATATAATTAGCATACAAATAACTACGTATAAAAGTAAATTTTTCTTTTTTTCAGAATTTCAATAAAAATATGATAGTCTAAAAAAATATTGATCTAGAATTGTCAAACAATTAAGAAATTTACAGTAATTTGAATCCAATAAATATATATATATACAGGCTCGTATTTAAAAATTTGGCACCCCTGGGCATATAATTTATGCCCTCCCTCCCAAAAAAAAATAAATAATAATAATATAACACTTATTTTTTCATCCATAATCCAGATTATTAAGTATTAAAATATAACTTATAAATGAAAATCTTTTAATATTTTTTTATTATTTTTTCATTAGTTACATCATGTTTAAAATTAATTTTACTAATATATTTTGCCACCCTCGGGCATGTACCTACCCGTGCCCTCCTAAATACGAGCCTGTATATATATATATATATATATAGTTACTTAAAAACTATTTAATATCAACATTAATTTCAAGAAAGTGATCAAATTATTATTTATTATAGTATAATACAGAGGTTGTTAAATGGGGGAAGGGGGCATGGGGCCCTTATACTCTTTTCATTCACCATATTTAATATTTTTTTATTATTGAGAGTATTAATCTCTTTAAACTCTTTCACTTTTCATACATTGAGCACGCCTAGGGAGGAGATTAAGGGTTATATACCTCCCCCAAAATTGACCCATAAATCTATATATGTGTCTATGGTACAACCCCCTCAATGCGTTTAAATGTATTATTAATAACATCACCTCACCAATGAAATTTTCTGGCTACACCACTGTATTTGTATATATTTAGTATATTTTTGTGTCTCCACTCTTCATTATTTTTTTATAAATACGCCCTTGCAGTAGCGCACACAGGGAGGGTCAGGGGTGTCGACTGACACCCCTCAGAGAATTGGTGGATGGCTAGTTCTGTGTGAACTTGTATGAATATTTGTTTATTTAATACTAACCAATTTTTCAGCTATCCAAATCAACATACTTATTATGTTTACCTTAGGACTAAAGCATCACATAGGAATAATTAGTGGGGCTCAATTCCAAAAATTATGTTATACAAACTTATAAGTTGATACCCAGAAAAATGAAAAATAATTAATATTAGGTTCATTTAAAAAAAATTTTTTATAGTATCTTTGTAAGTAAAAAAAAACCAAAAACACTTAAAAGTAAGATTTATACTATACCTAAACTCTTTACTGGTGGTGTGGGTAGGTACTAGGTACCTCGAAATATATATTTTCGACACCCTTGTCAAAAATGTTCTGTGCGCCACTGCGCCCTTGGTATAGTATTTAATATAAAAAATAATTTTGAGTATAATTAAACATATTATATATAAGCCTATAAATTAATTTTATTTTCTTTGTTATAAAATATATAAGGTATTATAATATGTATTATAATTAATACATAATATAGTATTATATAGTATTAAATATATTAATATATATTTGTTCAGTTAATATAGTAAACGTAGACAATTTTTAAACCTTTGAGATGCAGATATTTAGATTTTATACTAATCTTTTAATGTTGACATTATAATCAGAGCAAAATTACTTACTATGTTCATGTAAAATTTATAATTTAGTTTTTAAATATTATTTTAGTCGCTCATTAATTGAAAACATATAAATACATTTTACAGTTATTAAATAATTGTATTGAAAGTAAAATAAGCTCTGTGTTTATTAATAAAAACTGATATGAAATATTATTAGGTAATCAAGAATTCTAAGGTATAAACTAAAAATAATAAGAATCAAAACGATAAGACTAAAGATAGTTGGCATACTTTTTAAGGAATAATGTCAAGATAGTAATGTAATGTAGAGTTGAAAATTAATCACAGTTTTAGATAAAATAATTGATCTATAATATCCTAAAATGTAATTATTACAAATAATAAAAATAATAATAATACAAAATTAATAATAAAAATAATTTGTTAGAATGTCCAAGAGGACCTACATATCTAAAAAAAAAAAAAAAAAAAATAAAAAAAATAAACATGAAATTCGTTTGCATAAATTCTTAAAATAGATGAACATTGGAACTTAGGTTACGCACTATATACATAATACAAATTTATATAATGGGACGTTATTTTAGATTACCAAAAAAGAAGTTCCAAGATAAGATATTATCACAATAGAAAAAAAATTAATACCAGTCCATGACCGTACATAAAATGTAATAATTTTTTTTCTTCAAAAATGTTCAATTTAAATATTAATAAATTAAATTGATATATACACTAGTTAAGGTATGATTCAAAATTGTATCAGAGAACAAATATTAAATTAGATCTTAAATTAGCAAACCTTAATTGATGATAAATACAACTATTTTTAATTATATTTAACTAAAACAGTTTCAATATTATTAACATTTCTTCTTTTTTATCTTATTAACTATACCATAAAGGAAAACATGAATCTATTAAAAGTATACTCCTCATACATTGAACATATAATTATGTTTTTATTACACATTAAATTGAACACAGCATTGAGAGGACCTTACTATATCATTTTTTATTGGAATTGTAATCGCAATTGATCAGATGAACAAGAAATTAATAATTTACAAATACAACTAGAGATATTTTGTAAATATTTCAATTCAAATTTATAACCTATTTGATATATATTGAATTAAGTACTGTTTATGACTAATGATTTTTAGGACAATTTTAGGATATAAGTATTTAAAAGATAGTTTATTATATTTTATTAGACGTTTAGAAAAAAACTTACATTAATAAATCACATTATAAAAAAATGTTGTTGGTTGCTCTATATTTTGTTACCTGAAACATATATTAATTAAAATTATTTTTAGTTTATTTAATATTAATAGATTTAAATATATTTATTTTCAATTCATTATATTTGAAATTTAAATAAAATAAAATGTAAAATCAAAATACAGACTATGGAAACTACATATAAACTTAATTAAAATAAATCCTTTGAAACAGTACTTATTAATTTAATTCATTTTCATTTAAGTCATAATTATTGTATACAAATTGAAATAAAAGCTACTTCCTCCATATTTCTTAGTAAATAATGATTATGCAATAATTTAATGAATATTATAAACAGTCATCATCATACACATTTTTGTTGAATATTTTTCAACAAATGTGTAATTATTAATAGAGAATAATAAGAGTCTCTTATTTACAAAAAATTATAAACCTATTTAATTTTTATTCTTATGTTGTAATAATATGGATATAATAAGTATTTTAAAGAAATATAAATATATATATATATATATAAACATCAAAATTGAAGTTACAAAATATTATAAAAATTATAAAAATGATTAATAACAAATTTATTGTTATCAATATTTGAATATACTGGAAAATAATTTGTATATATGAATTTTATTGATGCTTGTGTTTAAGATTAACTTCATCCAAAGTCTTTAATCATGCATGTAAGGAATAAATAATGCAGAGTACTGGTAAAGTAATAATCAAATCCATTGTTTTTTTGGTTCAAATTATTTTTATATATTGATGACAAATGTAAATAAATATAAATATATACATAAGGTATAATAAACAACATTGTTTACCCTGGCATCAATAATTGATTTATATGATGGTAACATATGTATAGAGCAACTGGCAAATTTGTTATTACATATCCTCTTGACTTTTACGCACACAACGTGCAACCTTGCGCTTGAATTCTGGATAATTTTCACGCCAATCTTTTGCAGCATCTACATTAGCTGGACTTTCATCATTTGGATCGGCCAACATTGAAATAACTGATATTAAGATAGTTTCGACCGTATGAACTGGTAACCAACGTTCACTTGCTTTTTCATAACCCCATTTATCATCACCTGGTTCATGAAGTATAGATATGCAAACATCACCACTTTTATCAACTAAAAAATATAAAAAATTAATTAATAATTAATAAACCAACCATTTTTTTTATTAATTAAATATTAAAACTTACACACAATATTGAATAATAATAAAGTATATATTTATATATGTATATATAATATTTTTTTATAAAAATAATTGAAAATAAATAAGAAATTAAATAGGTAATTTAGTTATAAAACACTATCACAATTAAATTCTAATTTTATTTTTAGATTGAATATTTATTCCATATGAAATTGCTATAAATGCATAATTTATGTTTCAAATTAATTAAAAAAAAATAAAAAAAATATTAGTAACATAAATTGGAGGATATTAAAAATGAACATTTAGTTAAGATAGTATGCTTTTTATAAAAATATTTTTAATTCAAAATCCTAAAAATGGATTTTATTATTAATGATAAAAAATATTAATATATCTTGCACAATACTTAAAAACTTTATAAAAAAAAAATTAGTTTAAATATATACTAATGTATTAAGTCTTGAATCCTGATTATAGTAAAATCCAAATTTATGATTAAGAAGTAAAAATACTTTTAATACTACATTGATATGGTTATAAATGTTGAAGATTTATTTAGAAATAGGCTGTTTAATATTATTGAATTATTATTAAAATTATTACACCAATATGTTGAATTATTATTATATATTTTTTGAAATGTTCATTATTATTTATATATTATAAATTATTATGCTGTTATAATTTTAATTTTGTAAACTGATATGTAACATATGTTTTGCTGCAGTAAATTGTTTTTTTTGTAAATGGAGTTTACTCCGTATATAATAAATAAATAAATAAACATAAGCAATGGATAGCAACATTTTAATCATACAATTACTATCACAATCTTTTCAAAAATGTAAGAACATGTTACATATTACACTCAATTAAAAAAAGCTAATTCAGTTAATTCATATTTTTATTTCAATTTATATTTTTTAAATTATAGTTAAATATAAATGTAAACAGTTACAACTTTTCTTATTTGTTATTGGGTATACCCCATATTTTTTTTTTTATGTTTTTAGAGCATATTATGTATGCCACATATTTTATTGTTTTAAAAAGTTTTAAGCTCATATAAAATACTTCCAGATATATGAAAAAATGAATATTATAAATTATATTACTTTATTTCATTATGACAAATTTTTATATTTTTTTATTTATTTTTTTTTAAAGTTTGAAATACAGTACATAACAGCTTAATATTTAAAATACTTACTATTAGGATGCCAAATTTCAGTGACAAATTTCATTTTTGGTGGCCTTAATGGATACTCTTTAGGAAAATTAAGATGAGCCTTGAAAAACCCTCCTTCACTGTAAAAATAATTTGATTAATATTTACAAAATGGTTATTGATTAAAATTAATTAGCCTATTTTTAAAGTTTTAATGACTCAATTATTTTATTTCTTTCCACATATTATGAAAATATAAAGGACATATACATGTCATAAATATCAATAATATACAATTTAGTTTTCAGGAAATAACAGAAAACTAATACATTAATAGAAAAACTCATTAAATTACGAATTAATTGTTTTCTGAAATTTTAGAGATGCTTGACAGCCATTTATAAAGATAAGAAATTAAGTTAGTTGAGCATTAGTTGTCTTTATAAATCATATTAATGTATATATTGATAACAATTATAATAATAGTAATTTCTGCATTTTCTTTATGCATGTTTCGGAGGTTATAAAAATATATTAATTGAATACATATTATACATTAAGGTGAAACATATTGACAGAACTCTACAAATTAATTTTAATACTTGAACTTCTTTTTATAAATAATTATAATTTATGTAACTAAAATATGAGAAATGTTAAGAAATGGTTTTGTTTTGTATTGCGACAATACTATTTTATTAGGATAAAAGTATTATTATAATTTAATAAAAATATTGAAATAATAGTATTAAAGATAATTTTGAGTTCACATTGAATTAAAAGATGAGTATTGATATAGCATTCAACGATACAGGGTATATCAATATTAACATATGTACAAAAGCTTACTATAAGGTGTCTGGAGGTCCAATGATGAGAACTTCCCATTTGTAAATATCATTATCATCTATAAGACCAGCAGAGAACCCCTCTACTGGGTTCTTGTGCAATTCTAAACAAAAGAATTTATAGTTAATATTTTTAATCACATTTTTAACTTTGATTATGGTTGACCAATTTAAAGGGTCGCTTATTCGCGGAAGAGATATTATGAATAATGTTAAAATGTATGGCTAAAATGTGAAAAATGAAGTACATCTTACGAGAACAATGAGACGACCAAATAATTAGGACACATGTTAGTTTTACCAGAATCGGACACGTGAAAATATTGTCGGGTTACCGTTGATGTTGGTTCGTACCATGGCAATAATGCGATAGAACTTTCCGTACGTTAACACACGAAACACGGATAGTCCGTACTTACCAGTCAGTTGTTTTTTTAATAATAGCACCGACTGTAGTTCTGACATTAAAATTGATTTCTTGTTTCCTAAGTGGTGTGTTGAACCGTTCCAACGAGGTATACCTCTACAGAGAAGTACTATTAAGCGTAGTGACGAAACTTACCGTCTTCCGAATGGAAAAAAAAATTGTTTAAATAAAAAAAATTACAAGAGATATACCTTATAACAATAATAATAATAGAAATTGTAATATATCAAGCAGCACGGCGATGCGGCTTATTGGAAATAAATTATCGGAACGGGTCATCGTGCGCATGCGCTGAACTAAAATGACAGTGCTGCCAATGGTCTCGCCGGCTACGTTCTCTCAACCGCGGCGGCGGCAGCATAAAGGAACAACGTGAAGTATTGCAACGGTGAATTACCTGCAATCACCGCTGTCGTATGCATTGTCCATTGGAGGAGCTCAACCACGTCCGATTGCCATTGTTTTGAGTCCATCGTCTCCTTCGCTACATTCAGTTGGGGTTGTTGGTTCTAGCCGCCTGTGCCTCTAGTAAAACTAACAAATTGCAAAATGTATTAACTCGAATATCGATCGGCGCAATAGATGTATACCTTTTTTCCATCACATAATTTTTCTTTCTTTATCTGTGCGATTTTCGGCGCAAAAGCCATTTGGCGATAACCAATATTGTAATTACAATGTACTTTATGTCGTTACAATCGAAACCAGTCGAACTCTCGGAAGAAGTGTACAAAGATATCAATTGACGCGGTCTCACAACTCGATGTTGTAGTGTTTAGCTTAGAAGAGATCTGTAATACGATTATGAATTCTCGAACTATTTAATATATGCCGTCATTAATGATGAAGAAGAGAAAAGCGAGGCATCCCCATGAGCTAAAGAAATTATAGAAGCTCTAAGTGTCTTCAAAAGAGCAGTCCTGCACCATGTGGATGAAAAAGCCTTTGGGCAACGGGCAACATTGTTTTCACGAAACCCTGATCACAAAGTTACTCGACGCAAAACAACAGATAACACATATTTTACTTAGCAACCAGGGACAGCGCGAGGGGGTGGGCAATAGGGGCAGTTGCCCAGGGCCTCGTGCCTTAAAATATAATTAAGGCCTCACGGTTTTGATTTAACTGAACTTAAAATATTTTATTAATAAATTATAAGACCCAACATTTATTTTGCCCAGGGCCTCGCAAACTCTAGCACCACCAATGTTAGCAACAACTACTCGTACAACAACGATAAACGCAGGGCCGGCCCAAGCAAAAATAGTACACTAGGCAAAATCAAATTTTGCCGCCTCTAAAAAAAATTGAGTTCTTATTTTAACTTTGCCCCTCCACCTATTTTTTATGTGACATATCTACATAAAAAAAAATTAAATTTTTTTATTTTATGGATAGATGTATATGTAAAAAGACTTAAAAATGATTTCTATAATTATTACTCAAAACCTATCACTATCGCGATTATCGGAAATCGCGGAAGCGATTGTGTGGTTATTTATATTTTTGGAGTAATTGAAAATGCCCAGTGTAGGTCGTTATATAAAGTAATATAATAACTGTAGACAATATTATTTTGTTATATAGGTAAGTGGTTTTCACAAATTAATTAATTAAAATATTATTCTTGTAAAACACCGATACAACTAAAAAAAAGTACGAGTCCATTTTGGAAATGATACCCCTACTAAAGTGCCGCTCTATGCAGGTGCCTAACCCTCCTATACCTTAACCTGGCCCTGTATATATAAAATATTAATATTGACATACCTACTTTATTATAAATAAATCTAATATTACCTAAGTCTGGGGTGGCCATTCGTCCCGGATTTCCGGGACGTTACCGGTTTAAGAACTCATGCCTCAAAAAAAAAAACCGAAAACAAGGCGTTGTTACCGAGTTTAGCTATCAACATAATAATGTCACGGAATTTAACTTATTTTTAAAATTATTATTATTATTATTATTTCCGAGTTTTAATGCATCAATAGAATGAGTGTTTTCATTGATGACTTCCACTTGCACCGACGTTCGTAATCAAATGTATGTGGCAACTGTAGAAAGTTGTTTGATTATCAAAACATTTGGTTTAAGTTACATGGTATTTTACGACAAAATGATAAAGTCATTCTTTTTTGAAGAACGTCCACAACCCATAAAAATACATGATGACAACTGAAGATAAAACTTAAAAACTTAACCTGTCACATGTCACTGAATATGAAATACAAAAATGTGTAAGCTGTGTTTAAAATTTTAAAATTTTGTTTATATTGAAAATAAAAGTATATTTTCTATTTCTATAATTTTAATATTTCATAATTAAACCCACAAGTAAAACATTTTAAGATGAAAATATTAATTATTTATAGATTGATGGGACGATTTGGTCAAGTTAGAATTTATTGTCCCAGATATAACTAATAAAGGAAACCATAAACAAGTTCAAAAGTTAATTTTCTCCATTTGAATTAACTACTTACTCAGTATTTTAGAATTGAACAACCTAATTAAAAACTTTGCTTTTTCAGTCAATTAAGAAAGAATATGTTAATATATATTAAAATCATGACTTAGGTTTATAAATATATACTTATTTATTAATAATTTTTTTGTTAAATCACACTTGTTATGAGTTGACCAAATACAATACTAGATAGAACTAAACAAATAATTTTTGCTATTGTGTAATTTTTATTAAATTTGCATAAAATTATTGAATGTCAATTATCAATAATTGTATTGTTATCATATGTAAAATATTAATTAAGTAACAATAGAGATTAAGTATCTTTTCATGATGGTATCAAGTAATTACATTGAATCCTTTGAAAATTTTGTATAAAAAAGGTCTGCTTTGATTATTAATTTATTTTCATTTTTGAATTTAATAAACCTTTGCCAATCAAGCATTACGGCTAGACAATTATATATAATATATTGTTATTTTACACATAACAATAATTTGTTAATAATACAGTAGATTACAGATTACATATGATATTGACCATATTAAACTTTAATTAATTACCATAGTTCTTAATTCTTATCTAGATCAAGGATTCCCAACTGCTGTGCCGCGGCACACTTGTGTGCCGTGAAATTATTCAGGTGTGCAGTATAATTTTTGTAATTTTATAATTTTTAAACAGAACTAAAAATAATAATCAAAATTATAATTTATATTTATGATAGCATTGACTTCAAAATTTCCTTGAAAATAAAAAATGAAAAAATGTCCTGATAAAACAGCTATAATATTATATGGGATCCGATACTACCCGATGCAGGTATTACAAGCAATTGCATTAACTTTTACAACATACTAAAATTACTACATGAAAACATAGCCGGTGCTCATTATTATGAAAATTGAACGCGTGTAATTGTTACGCATTATACTGTGTAGGTATTTTGATCAAGAAATATTGTAAGTTAAATTTACAAATGGATAGATTTTTAAAAAAGCGTAAATTAACGGATGGTAGTGATGTTAGTGCAAATGACAACAATTTAATTATTGAAATTAATATTAAACAATCAGCTTTAATAAGTGATAAATTTTAATTTAAAAATTAAACGTAAAATGTTGATAGTTATTTATGTTTTAGATTTACCTACGTGGAATGGCGACATTGATTATCCTTCAACAGTTTGTATCGTTTCAACTGTTTCACTCGTAATAGAGGAATTATGTAAAAAACACTAGTCTCAAATGTCAAATTAAATTTGTATTATATATATGTATTATGTAAATATAATTATATTATAATACATTATATATAATTATGACATTATGTATATTTTTAAAATTATCAAGTGTGCCGTTAAGTAAAAAGGGTTAGGAGTCCCTGATCTAGATGTTGATCAGTGGAAAACTTTTATGTCTTATTACCAGTGCTTGACTTGGGGGGGGGACGCAGGGAAAAGGAGTACCCCAACTAATTTTCAGAAATTTTAGCGTCCCCTACTACTATTACGCTATAATCATAACGCTCAGCCAGTTTTGGGGACGTTCTTTTTTTTAAATTAAATAGAGTCCCCCTTCTTTAATATTGCCAAGTCGAGCACTGCTTATTACTACTATAAATTAACACTATTAAAAAAACTATAAATTCAGGTTGTACTATAAAATACAAATAAATCAAATTTGTAATGAAAAAAAAAAAAACAAATGCTTATGACACATAAACAATAAAAAAAAAATATTTTTGTGTGAAAAATGTTTTTGGCAACATCAGTAATCTCAGTTAATTGTTGATTATTATCACTGTTTTCTTTTCACTTGGCCTGGAAAAATGTGATCATTTTTTTCACCCAACCATTTTTTATCGTTTCTATTTGTTTTTTCCTCTTCTGACCATCACTACCACCGACTCCATTAGCCGATTCTACGACCACCAATGCATTTTCCGATGCCATTTTCCTTGTAAAACTACAAATCAATATTAATAAATTAAATACATCTGTCAACTGTAGAGATATATTTTGTAGTATTAAGCAATACCAATAACAATAAAAATTAGGTTACATGAAAAATTACTGTACCTATATTTATGTCACAATAGGAAATAGTTTACTATAACATTTTATAATAGAAGAAAACAATTGTAAAATAGTCAATACTCTTAACAAGCATGAAAGCAATTATTAAATTTAATTAGGTTAAGAAAATTTATAAAAGACAGAAGACGGGGAAATTAAAATTATTTTATGTAACTCGACTATTACGGAAACATGCGTTAAAAAAAAAGAAATACAATTTCCAAAAGAAAATAAAAATAAAATAAAAAAATAAAAAACTTTTACCAGACCGATCCACGAAGACGTCGATGGCGGGACAGTGTAATGTCTACGTGGTATAGACCATGTACCCATGACATGAACTGATCACTCGCATTTGATTCTTCGTGGTATCGTTGTGCATCCAGTGCGCGGACGATGATGTGACGAAGAGTGTGAAGCTCGTCAATACCCATGAGCTCGATTTCAGAGCAATCAACATGAAAATTTTTATTAATCCGACAACGGACCATCGCTATCGGTTTTTCAGACATCTTTGTGGAATGATTGACAGACGAATAATAAAATAGAAAGATTCGTATTAAATACGTTTTATAATACCAAGTATAACGTATACATGATATATTATTACGTGTTGATTGCACATCAATAACATGATTAAAGATAATTTTTTTTTTTTTTTTTAATATAAAAAGAACAATACGTACATTAAGTGGCACATTAAATAATTTAGATA